GAAGACATGGTATCTCCACTTGCGAGGTGGGGAAGAAGAAGAAGAAGCCATGACAGGTGAAGAAGAAGAAGTAGCCATGAGCAGAGATGATCTTGAATGGTTAAGAAAGTGTTAGGATAAGAAATGGGAAAATAGCAACTCACTTATATATATATAGAGAGAGAGAGATGGGAAGTTTCTTTGCAAAGTTAAGGAAATTTCAAACAATGTAAAATAGAGAAGAAAAAGAAAAGTCAATGAAATTTTGGACTCAATATTGCAAACGCGTAAAGAAGCAGCTTACATAGCAAGTTGTATAGTCTTCATCCTTGGCCTGATTCCCAGATGTGTTTAGGATAAGCAAAGCTGTGTTCACTTATTGTGATAGAGACAGTAGTAGTAAACGAAATATCAAAAGAGTTAAATGTGTTTTTGGAAAAACGAGTAAATAGGAGAAGAAACTGTCAACTGCGGGCAACCGTTAACTTCTGAAATGGGTTGTGGCTTGTTCGTTTGGTCACCGCAGGCAGTTGCGGCAGCGGCTGCGGCGAGCGCAACGTTTTTAGCCGCTAAATCAAATCGACGTTCAAAACTTTTAATCGCAGAACGTTGCGATCACCGCAGCGGCAGCCAAACGAACAACAATTTTTGCCGCCTTCGCAGCCGCAGACAAAACAAACATGCATTTTTGTTGTCTTCTTAGTCAGCTTCTGTTCTCAACTTCGTTTTTCATCTTGGCTCAAGGTTGAGATTTAGTTTTATCAAAAACACAATACACAAGTTTTCATTATACTTGTCATATATGAATAGTGATTTCATATTTCTCTCATAAGTTAGTTGTGATTCTGGAAACAAGTGTGCACACCCAATGAATCACATTAACAAACAAAATGTTGTTGTTTGTATCTCTACATGCACACCAATTTATAGATCATACAAAAACTTAAACAGATTATAAGTAGTTACATTTTCTTTTTAGCTTCCTAAGTTTGTTTAATCAATCCTCCACATAACACAAATATATGTACCAGTGGTTTTTAAACATATCATAGGTGGT